CCAAAGATAAATCCTAAATCCACCATCAAGAAGTAAAAAAAAATCAAGTTTGCAAGAAAATGGTTATCCAAAGGATGTCACATATCGGCATAACAGAAGTATATGTGAAGAACAATAATTGATTAGATTGAATGTGGATAACATAGACACAAATCACAGAAAAGACAAAACCAAATTCTCATTTAAAATTCTAGTAGCAATATCAACATAGAATGCCTTCAACATATGAAAATCTTCGGCTTCATATAGCCTCAAACATTTACAATTTTAGAGCCATAGCTGAAAGAAAGACCTATGTGATCTTTTGCTGGGGAAATACAATTTTTTTTTTTTAATAATAATAATAACCCCTTATATTTTTTGCAACAAGATCACTCATAGATGGTCTTATTACAAACAATAAAAATTCCAAAATAAATAACACATCAATAAAATAAATCTTAACTACTTGATGCCATTGATACAACCTAATACTATGCTTGAGAATATGAAATACAGAACAAGTAAATATAAGATAAAGATGCCGAAGATTACCTCAACTGGGCTTATTACACCCCACACGGAGTCACCACATCCAATGGCGCTGGATCTGCACTCTAACTTCAATCTCGAATCGGGAAAGCTGATTTCGGCCAAATTATATAACCACCCTTAATTCTTCACAAAACCCTAACCTCCAAAAATAACTTAGGCTTCTTTCTAATTTCTACGACCCTTAGTTTCTTCTTATGTCTAGGGAGAAAAAAAGTAAGGAGAAAAAAAGCAGTACCTAAAGTAGGGAGAAAAAGAGTAAGGAGAAAAAGAGTAGTAGCTAGAGTTGGGGGGTGACCCCCCTTTGAAACTTTGGGATAAAGAGGGTAGAGGAGAGAGAGTAGGGTGTGCCCCTCTAGGAGAGAGAGAGGTGAGAGAGAGAGGGGTTGTGTAGAGATTGGAGGAGAGCACCCCTATTTGTAATGAATATTTAGGTTTAAGGTTTCTTAAGGTTTTCCATAGTTTACCTCTTTATTAATGACTTGTGAAGTGAGAGATCTGAGCCATCAATTTTATAGATGGGTCATCAACATTATGGAAGGTGCTTAGACCTTTATCCCCTTTTCCTGAAACCATTTTCCATCAATATATTTAGATAAAATAGATATCATGCATTCCATAAAAATAGCATGATCATATCACATATTCCATAAGTATGTCAAACATTATCAAATAAATAAATACTACCAAAAATTTTAAATAAGATAAGGTCAATGTTTACCATATATTCAAATTGACCATATCCCTTTTAAAGCATACTTATCATATTACAAAATATGTCATGGTCGCTGTATCATTTCCAAGATTTGACCACATGCCTCAATCAAAATTACCATAATCTTAAGACCTTGATCACAAAGAATTCAAAGGGTGGGACATGCCACCCTTTTGTGGCACATGTGGGCCCCCACCCATATGCCACATGGTGGGGCCATGTGTACTTTGGGCCCCCATGGAATTTTATAAAAAGTTTTAAAATAAAACTAATTAATATATATATTTGAATTTTTACAACTTTGTAAAATCTATAACTGTATTTTTATAAGTCCAAAAAAACATAATTAAAACATTAAGAGATTCATAAAAATTTAAATAATAAAACTAAAATCATTTCAATAATAAAATGAACACAATTAAATTAATATGATGGGAAAATGATCCATATGGTTTTAGGAATTCAATCAGTAAATATGGGGTACTCCACCTCCAACTGTGGACTACAGACCATACAAGCTTTATCGAACCGACCCAACGTTTCCCATGACCTACAGTCCAAGCAGGGGCTCATTAGCGGGTCGCCAAAGTTAGGTCAATAAATCAAGGGGTTGCAATCCTAGTATATGGATTACAGGTCCTCCCCTAGAGACGAGTCAAGGTTACCACGACCTGATGCGACCACAACTCTATGGTGTATAAGGGTATCTCTCGCACATGCATACGCTTCATCCAAAGGTGGATATTTGACTTTGCCGAATGATCTATCGATATGCTAGCCGTGTGATGGAACACAGATGAGGTTTTAGCCCCCGTCTCAATAGCCATACTATCACACACAATGGTCACAGAGTCCATCGGCTCTCTCATTTAGACATAAGCTCTGACCTCATCAAGGGTTAACCCAAAACCCTCATCAATTAATTCTTTATGCCTAGGTACCTTGGGTTTTCCAACCGACTGGCCTAGATCGATAAACACATTTCGGTATAAGCAAACATCATTCGCTTAGTATGGTTTTCAATGGACCACACTCCCACTGAATTTATGCTTCACTATAATAAAAGTATTTCAATACACACTCATAAGGCCTTTAAAGGCCACATAAACCCAACAATAGCATCCGAGATATGGGTCAAATTCAATGTCAAAAGTTTGTACAATCTATAAAAAAAAAAAAAGAAAGAAAGAAAAAGAAAAAGCTGAATACGAGAAGGATAATTTTTCATTGCATCATAGGGCCATTATTAGGCAAGTGCCCTTTTAATAACCATTAGATCAATCAAATGGAAAACAACTTGTATGATACTAATTCTCCCTCAAAAAAATCACAACCATTCATTACAATTACTCTCGGGTATCAGTATAGGAGAAACAAATCCAAACCGTCCAAATGCAGCATATTATAAATACTTGTGTAAAGAATACCCCATTAAAGCTAAATATTTAAAAGAAAACTATGGAAAAAAAACTCATAAAAAAATCGAGATACACTTAATTTTAGCACATAATTAACAAACAGCCAAAACAAACATAATAAATCTACTCAGAGAACCAAACATTTTCCATTTCATCTTAACTATGAGAGAGAGAGTTAGTAAAAGGGAAATTTGATATGAATTTTACCTCGAGAGAGAGAGAGGTGACAGAGAACACTACTTTAAGAAACCCAATACTTGATAATAAAAAAACTAGAGAGAGAGATTAAACCTGGTAAAAGAGAAGCGCGAAATGGTAGGAGAAGTCAGTTCCCAACGCAGAAGTCTATTGAATTTGGGTTAACGCAGAAGTCTATTGAATTCAGGTTGGCATGAAAAATACAAACTGCAAAATAAAGTTCAATCAAACTGCAAACTAAAGTTCCATTGAACTTTAGTTGGCATGAGAAACACGACGCTAAGGGTTGCAACGGGCAGGCCTCGGCCCGACCTTTCTCCGTACAAGAAAAAGAAAAAACAAGGGAAACAAAAAAGCGCTACTCCAGGCCTAATGGAGGCGGCTCTGGCCCGAAGCCCAGCCCTCAGACCATATAATAGCCTACGCCCTACTCATTTAGGGCCAGCCAAACGCCCAGCCCATTGTGATGGACCAATTTTTAACATAAATGATCAAGCTGCCCTTTCTTTTCCCTTACCTTCAGAGGGCATATTTGATAATGGTCCTACACTAAAGAAGTAACGGCTTTCATGTTATCCTTTTGCCTTCGAAGTTGGTGAAAAATGAGGTCATAACAACCTCTTGCTCTACTAATCAAACACACGTTAAAAATTGTTTGTGCGGGCCTTGACATGTGACTACCAATTACTTTATAAAATGTAGATCGCAGCAAAAATCTTAAATATCTCAAGTTTTCAGGTGAAATTTACAATATCCAATGGAATTGTACGGTGCATATTGTAGGGATACACCACTCTTGAAGCGTGTTGTACCAAAATCAAGTCCAACACTAAGTCACACAATTTTTCAATATGCCAAATATATCCCCATGGATATCCTTCTTCCTATAATAGAAAACAAAAAGTTCCCGTTGGAAAACGAATGTCCAGCACAGGAAATCCCTGTTTAAATCCATTTTCCCCCTTGATTATGAACTTCAAACTCTAAAAATAATGCGGATATGATAAATTTGTAAACCTTGAAAATAACTAGGGATTGTATACGACGAGATTATTGACTTTTGATACAATGAGCTCACAATCACTTTTAACCATGGATATGAAATCCAATGAATGAAGATGTGTCACAATATTCAAAAAAATTTATTTTGGACTTTGTACTCAAACAATGACACATCCTCAACTACCCAATTTCAAATCTAGTTGTCAATTATGATTGTGACCTCCTTGTATCAAAAGTAAATAATCTCATTTCACATGCAATTCAGAGCCTTGTATCAAAATAACATATAATAAGGCCTTAGAGCCTTAGTCATTTCACATGTAGTTTAGAGCATTGTTAATTAAGATTCAAAAAAGAAATTAGCACAATCGTCATGCAATATTATATGTGGGGATCTTTCTTGGACTATTATGTGGATGTCTTTCTATTGCAAATGTAGTGGATAACTATTAGGGCTATAATCCATTGGGTGTGGTTTGCATAAGGTTGCAACCCTAAACAATCAAAGTAAGGCATGCCTCCAAATTTGATCATAAGATATAATTTTGGTGTAAAAGTTTTTAAGATGACTTAAGAAACTATTTCCGTATATAATTATAAAATTTCAAACTCCAAAAATGGGTCAAGTCAAGTCGATCTATAAGGACATGAAAATCTTGAAAATAGACAGTCCAGATAATATATGGCAAGATGTATTATTTTTAAGTCTCAATTTTTTTTATTTTTTTTCCTAGTCATACATCTCGATGTCGAGATGACCAGTTAGAGAGTTGAACAACATCTAAACAACCTCTTTCGATGGATTTTTGATGTACATCTTAATTCTACAATACAAGATTGCAACTTTATATAACCTTTGTAATGCATTATCTAGACAATCAATTTTTAAGTTTTTTCAGGTGGTCATAGATCTGCTCGATCTACACTCCTTTTTAATATTAAAATTTTGTAATTGACATGAAAATAAATTTTCAAGTCATCATAAAAATTTCCTGATACTGAAACAACATATTTCGGCACTATTTGATGGTACACATTACTTTGATTATTTAGGGCCTCAGCCGTATACAAACCACACCCTTTTATAAAAGATAATAATACAAAAGAAAACTTGGTGGCTAACCACACCCTTTTATAAAACATAATAATACAAAAGAAAACTTGGTGGCTAAACAGTCCTATATGTGTGCATAGGTCTTATTACACAGTCCACATGGTTTTACACACATTTATCTATGGACAAAGAAGGTCTCTCCTTTCCTTTACAGTGAGGCTGAGGTGAAATTGAAGTTAGAGCAAGTGGTTTGTTGAAACAACAAGGAAGAGGTGAACCCAAGCTTTGAAGCTCCAACATCAAACAAGAGGAAGTTATCTTGCATTTGGTAGGAGCCCAACAGTATGGCATTCTTGGCATCCATCCCACCATCCACAAAAGCTAAGCAAGCCACATCATTGCTCACTTGCTTCATGGTGTTGGCCCCAACCATGACCCAATTCAACCCATTGGCTAGGACCAAGTTTATGGGCCCCACCGGGAGCCCGACACGTGTGGAGCCGAGCTTGCTTGTGTTGAGGCATACATCGAAGGGTTCCACAGCCCTCACACGTGGGATGCCGCCAGTGGCCTCATTGAAGGTCTCCACGAAGGCCTTGTAGATGGGCGTTGCGAGGGTGGTGTAAGGGTGCACGGTGCTGAGCTTTGTGCCGCGTGAGAGCAATGAGGAGTTGAAATTCACACCATTGAGGCTGATCGTGATGGCTTGGACTTGGATGTAATACCCGTCGGGTTTTGTCATCAAGGGCACATATAGAAGGCGCCTTGATACCTCAATGCCGGGCGGGGGCAATAAATAGAAGGGCTCGGAGCCGAAGAAGGCCGCTCCCGGTGCTCTAGGGGTGCTAGGCAAGCACAGTGCAAACTTACGCCTTAGACCGAACCTAGCATGGAGTTGGGAGGGGATGGCTAGCTCTGAAGGGCCTAGTGTGGCTAGGCCTTTTGCCCCCTTAGCTAGACCACCCAGAAGCCGACGTGGCACGCACGAGGAGATGAAATGTGGGAAAACCACCGAACCCGTAGGGTTAAGTCCATTAGTCGGGGTGAGGGTGACGGTTTTCAGGGCCAATTTTGATGAGGCACAAGTGTTTGCAACAGGGTTGTGTAGCCAAACAACACAGTTGGCCTGATAGCACTGATGTAGGGGCGGCCTCCCAATCGGACTGGCACAAGCGTCAGGGAGCTGTTCTGCGGCCAAACAAGCACGTGCACGGCATGAGAGGAGCAAACCTGAAGAAAGGCCATGGCAGAAGGACCAAGGTATGGCTCCCCCAAGGTCTAAAACATAGGAGTCGTTGTCTAGAGGGATGGTAACTTGGGAGGTAGAGGGGTCTAAGGAAAGAGGGGCCACAAGAGCTCTTGGAGGAGTGCTTGTCTCAGGGGATAGTTGGGCTCGGTTGAGAGAGAAGAAGAGAAGGGTGGTGAAGACCACGAAGGTTGCCTTGATAGCCATGGTTGATAATGATAGAGATGGGAAAATATATATGTATGCTGATTGGTTGTCTTCATCTGTGGGGATGAGCTGTCTTTAAAGTTTTTGCATTAAATGCCATGTCGCATGGCAAGAAACCATCAACTTGTTTGTTTGTTTGTGGATTCCTGATCAGCTTCACCCTCAAAAAGTTCGCATCTAGGTAAAAGGATGACGTTTTGGTGAGGCCGCGGTTCACAAAATTTGGTAAGGCCACATTAGAAATTATATTTACATGACACTTCTCTTGACCCAAATTCTAAGGTTGATGTTAGATTTATTTAGACCCAAATTGTAAGGTTGATGTTTCATAAATGATGCAGATCTAGCAGATGTGGCGTGATCATCCTCATAGTTTTTTTTTTCAATTAATTGGGGTTGACTGTATGAATTTTAGACTACCATTCTACTCTACTAAAGATAAATGTGTGAAGAAATCAAATCAACCATTTTTTTTTGGCACTAGAATTGCTTTTTCTAATGAGATTTGAAATATGGCAGTATAAAGCCTACAATTCTAGAAACATCATACCATGACTAAAAGCTTGACTTTTTTTTTTTTTTTTGTTGGGTAAATCAATGGGGTAGAATGCCCCGTACCCATTTTTCATTCATAAAAATAAAAGCATATTACAGCTCATAATTTTAGTGCCTTATTATAAACCCATTTCAAACTAACCATTTGAGTGGAAAAGCAGAACATGGAAATCAAGGGACTCAAATTGGGAAGGTTTTCTTGCTGCCACTTGTTTTAGATGCGTAGAATGCACTCTTCACTGTCACTTTTTTTTAGTATTAATCATCACAATTGGCTGATATATAATTCTATGCTTTGAACACAATGAAGCCTGTTCCACCCCTTTCCATACTTTACGCTTGACCGAAATTTTTGAAATTTCTGTTAGAGCTTATCATAATAATAATAATAATAATAATAATAATAATAATAATAATAATAATAATATATATATATATATATATATATATATATATATATATATATATTATTATTATTATTATTATTATCACATAATATTATTTTTAAAAGGAAATTTCAAAATTTGAGTTTTTTGATGCTTAAATCTCACTTTTGAAAAATTAGATGGTCTCTGTTCAATTTTTAGGTTTTCTTTTTTTTAGTACATAGCGAGTTCAATTCATTTTTTTTTTACTGAACTTAGCCTATATGTTGCATAGATTAAATCCCCAAACAGTAACGTGCATATAAAAAATTTACTAGAAAAATTTGTTTTGATATTGAAAAATCATCTTGACCTCAATATATATGGCAACTCCTAAACTAGCTATCATAAAAGTAAGGTTCGCCTAAAAACCTACCAGAAGAATGTTGTTCTGACATTGAGAAACACTCTAATTGATCGAGATGATATCAAGATGTATGGATATAACCGAAAAGAGAATTTCAAGTCTTAAAAATAATGGATTTTGTAATACATTATTTAGACCACCTATTTCATCTTTGTAGATATTATTTAGACCACTTATTTTTAAGATTTTCAAGTATTTATAAATCTACTTTGTTGCTCTATTTTTTAAGCTCTAAATTCCGAAGTGGGAATATACTTTTGAAGTGGGAATATACTTCCAAATAAGTTTTCAATAAAAATATATATAATAAGACGATAGAATTTAGTTAGTTTAAAATAATAGGTGACATCAAACCAATATTGTCCGATTCATGTCGGAGTTTTTTTTTGTTTGGCAAGAAAAATGAAGCAATTCGATGTTTCGCCCGATTCAAGGGAAGACTTCGCACTTTTTAAAAAATTTAATATGATATATGCACATATAAAAAACTAATGTAAAATAAAAATTTCAAAAAAAGTAAAAAATATAAAAATATTTTTATATAGATATTTCTTTGCTTAGTCCGAAGAGGCTTGAATCTAACCAAAACGACAGCACCCAACTTCGCTTTGCTTCAGTTTACGCCTAAAATCCGAAAGCTTCAGCCTTTTTAGTCGAAACTTAGCGAGCTTGAGAACATTGCATCAAATGTTTGCTTTATAGGTCCCAGTAAAGAATCCAAAAAGCTTTTTTTTTTTTTTTTTTAAGGTGAGTCAGTGGGGAGAAGAGGGCCCAAGTGCTAACTAATTAAGCACGGGCTTCCTATCCATTTATTTATTTATTTATTTGCAAATACGGGACATTGAGACACCAAATTGCAGAAAGCAAATATCATAAATTTTAAAAAAAATGCAAATATCTAGAAAAGGGAGATCACAGTAGAAACACATATGTGGCAAGAAAATTGGTATTACATTGGTTTTGCTAGAGAAAAACATAGTCAAATTAAAAAGAAAAAAGAAAAAAAACGATCTACAGATTATGGAGTGCCAAATAACATTTGAGAAAAACATTACATGATTATGTTGAAGACCCCATAAAATGTCTCTTAAAATGGGTATACATGTATTTTTTTGGGTGAATTTATATGAAGAATAATACAAAAAGAAAAAAATGAATTGCAAGTGAAACAGATAAATTTATAATAATTAAAATAATTAAATACTAGATGTCTTTAGACTTGATAATTTTAAAATAATAAAGCATGTTCTACAAATAAAGAAAAAGATATTTCGATTTTTCCTTCAAATTGCAATTTAAACTTTCTGAAACTGTCAATTTTTAAGATTTTCAAGTGTTTATAAGTCTGCTCGATTTGCATCTTTTTAGAATTTAGAATTTGATAATTAGAGTTGAACATGAATTTTCAAACGATCATAAAGTTTCGATACTAGAAGTACATCTTTTAATAAAACTTGGCTATGTAAGCTTGAAAATCGATCAATTTTTATGTAGTTTTTTATTTTAGAATCTGATAATTAGAATTGAATATAAATTTTCAAACCATCATAAAGTTTTGATACTAGAAATACATCTTTTAATAAAACTTGGCTATGTAAGCTTGAAAATCAGTCAATTTTTACGTAGTTTTTGGTTTTGTATTTCACATGAACTATTTTTTCATATTTTTTTTTATTTGAAATTCCATATTACTAGTTCAAGTAAGGGTTGAACCGATTTTTACATGACCGGACTGTTTATTCCATTAAATTTGTTCCATATATAATTTCTTTTAGTCAAAATTCTTAAGTTAAACCAAAAATAAAAAATAAATTGAGTTATAAGGATTAATTTTATTGTCATGAGTTGTATTTTAAATTTTATTTTGACTATAAGTGAACTTAATAGGCACAAAAACAATCACACTTTTTTAGTAGTTAAATATTTTTTATTCAATTCATAATGTAATTGTCACTATTTTTTGTAAAAAACTTAAAAAATTAAATTTTTAAAAAATTATAATGATTTTTTGAATTTGTATATATATATTTTTAAATAGACGACTGATCGGTTACCAATCATCCAACACGATTTTTGGCTCAAGCCAATCTGGGTCACTGATTCGCTTTGAACCAAGTAATGATAACGAGTGATTAAATGTAAAACTATGTAGAAATTTATTCTATAAAAAGGGCATGGACTTTTCCCAGACGCATTTTTAATGTTTCATTTCGGTAGTTAAACAGATCCTACCTTTTGCCTCTCCTGCTAACTCCATAAAGGTAAGGTGCTTTCTAGGCCCTTTTACCCAATTCTCTTCTTCTGAATTAAATCACAACAAACAGATAAAACAATTGTTAAATTGGATTTTATTACTTGCTTTTATCATTGATTCCGAAAGAAAACTAAAATAGATGGTTATAAATGGGTTTCATTGCACAATTTTTGTTTATTTGGATCTATAACTCGAAGAAGTTGGAATGACTGCAGCTAAATGCCCCAATGGAAAAAAAATAATGCCCGACTTTCAATTGAAATCTTAATACAATTCCTTGGTTTTATGTGATGCTTTTATTCTCTATTTCACAATGCCACTTTTTCTTTGTCTAGTTTTTAAATAAATTTGGGTTCAGGATTCATTTTCCTGTTCTGTGATTTTTTTGCTGAGAATTTGAATTTGAGAACTGGAATTTTTGGTCATATTCATTTAATTTCTTCAGTCGCCTCCATGTGTTTTATTGGTTCTCTTTTGGGGATGTTCATGTCCAATTGGCTAGTGAGGTTGATAGAAGTTATTTGGGCATTATTTCATCAAAGTGCTGGGAGGGGTTCTTGGGTGTTTTCGGAAGATTATATTTAGAGTTCTAAATTGTTTTACCCATTCCAAAGCATTGGTTGCAATTGGCATCGAAGGTCATTTGGTTTAATTTTCTTTTTTTATTTTTTGATTTATCAGTAATCATTGAAGGCTTCTTAGTTAAAATAAATTTGAAGGTGCCTTGGCTATATGTGTGTAAAAAATTGGTTATTTGTATCCAATAAGAAACCCCAATAAGGGATTGGTCCTGCAATCGCAAAAAAGGTTAAGACAATCTCGAAAACCGTCATATAATGAACTATCCTTGAGATGTTATACATTATTTGCAAGCGACATTGCATCAATGAAGGCAAGAAGAAATAACCTATTAGTATTGTATTACTCATTATGCATGGAAATTTTGTAATCTTCATTTTGCTAGGTGTTTTGGTTTGTCTGGAGGAGCGAAATTGGTTTGACATTTTTTTGTTCTGTGAAAATGTTTGCAGAATATCAAGACACATCTTTTCTTTTGTTCTTGTGCAATGGAGAATGTACTGGAATTCTTTTACTGCCTAGTGCAACAAAATCCTTAGATCTTGTTTTTGAGTTGTTTTTGGCTTGTATGCATTAGTAAGCTGAGGACAGGGTATAAATGAATAATTAGAAAAAATTGATTTGCCTTTGCATTTTTATCCTGATTATTACCCATGGTAAACAAACTTTTGTTTTGCACCCTTTCTATATTTCCCTTCCTTGTAAGAGTTGGCTTTGGGATAAGGCACTTAAGTCCTTAAAGAACAAATTTAATGCATATGGCCTATTTCATAGGTAATGGATAACTGTATGAGTACATAATCTACTTTCAAGCATCCTTCGTCTCTAACAAATTACTAGCACTCCAAAAAAAAAAAAAACGCATCACATATTACGACTCTTGAGGGTACTAAATTTTGGCCCTGCCGGGGGAGGGGTGTGTTGGCGGTGCGAAGGAAAGAAAAAACAGAGAACTGTTGATTGAAAGTTGATAGTAATGTCATTGGGAAGACTAGGAGAACTATCTTTTTCCTTTTTTTCTTTTCTAAAAATTTGGAGTAACTTTTAATCTCTTTCCTTCCAAAAGGCTTGTTTCCGAAGCTGTCTACATCCTGAATCTAATGCTGTGTGTTCAGGTAATTAGGTCGAGTTCTTATGAGTGCATTCTGAAGTCTATATGCCCTTGCACTCTTTGAAGAGCGGTTATTTTGAAAATTTCAAGTTCTAACTAAGGGAAGTTTATTGTACTGGGCATGCTTTTCTCCTCTGCTTGATACCGGCACTGAGACATTGCCTCTTATTGTCCTCCACAACAATGGCTGAGTTCGATGAGATGTACAGGCAGAAAATTGCCACATTTTTACGAGCTTTTTATTCTGCTAGATTTGCAAGGGATGACAACGTGCCCTGCGAAATTGAACCGGTACTTTTCAGATAATTTGGAAATTGTAGTGTCCTTCATTTTCTGTGACCAATTTCTTGTTAAATTAGATGTCTTATCTTTATGTACTTGCTTGCTTTGATTGAAGGAGGCAAGCCAGATTATATTTTTCTAATGCATATGAGTAACTAATAAATTTTCTCCTCATTATTCTTTTACTTGAGAAACCCTGATTTATCTTCATAAAATTTATTGTGAACTGTGCTATAATAAGGGCTTAGATGAAGCCAATAATTGTTAAAATACCAATCAAAGAGTGAAACTTCATGTTTATATGAAAACAATTCCAATTCTATAAGAAAGCTAGTGGAACAGTGTAACTAAGCGACATGCATGTGTTAGAGAAGCTCAAATATATTACAAGGCAAGAAATAAACAACATGCCATGGTTTGTGAGACAGCTAGACGTTCAAGTGACTTCAATCCCACCCTTAGAGGCCATATTTGCGGGGATCCAACTTCGGTAGGAGGGAGACCGCAAACTTTGTATTTTAGTTGGTCATCGGCCCTGCATAGGACCATCTAGCTCGTAACGTTCCACAGTCACTATTTTGTCCCAAATAGTGAGTTTCGTTTTACTCTCCAGCTTTGTTACATCTATACTTTTGCATTTTGGAACCCTCAGTTTAAGGATATGTTCAGAATCTTGCTTCTTCTTCACTTTCATGTAAATAGAGTCTTTGCAAGAGGCGAATGCTACTATTATATCCTCACATCTATGATCAGGTCAATTTGTTATCATTTTCAAGAAGAATGACTAGATCACTTTGTTGGGTTGAGTTTCATTGTTATCTTAGATAATTGGTATTCTTATGAGTTGAAAATGATCAGTTGATTTAGAGGCTTGGATCCATTTGTTGGAATTGGTTTTTTATGTTTTTATTGTTTTGGGTCCACACTGTGCTGTAACTACTCATATATATTGTATAATGTGTTCAATCAATACCTTTGATGGACAATACTTGACAATACTTTTCTATGGAATCTTTTCAATTATTTATTGACATTCATTTTCACAAATTGTTTTAGGGTCTCTATCTGGGTTCCATTGGAGTGGCATTTAACAAGGATGCGTTAAAACAGCGGAATATTACACATATTCTTACAGTTGCTAAATCCTTGGATCCTGCATATCCAAATGAGTTTATATGCAAGAAAATTGAAGGTCAGATATTATTTACATAAGTTCATATTTTGTAGTTCTTCTGCAATTTGTTGAACATATGCCCAGAATTTTCTATTACAAACGTTCTTAAACTTAAAACACGAAGGTTTTTTATTAGCTCATTGCATATTCAACCATTCACATACTTGAACTAATACATTCATCTTTTTCCTTCTGTTGTGTTGTATACAATGGAAACTTCAATATGGAACACATAGTCAACTCCTTTATATCTTAATCTGCAAAAGTGAATATTTTTAATAAAAAGCAGGAAATAATTCATAGGCAAATAGTTTGTGGGAAGTATACCATACTCTTCATGACTGGAGATGTCAATGGGGACAAGTGTCATCATCATCCAATCAAGTGGTAGGATGATAATGGAGAGAGAATGGCACCTGCTGGAACATGACCTGACCTACTAGAATATTTGTTTGGATGGTGTTGACCCTCATGGCCACTCACATTTCTTGGTCTTGAGGCGTTCAGTATAGTTCCCAACTATTAATGCTGAGCGAGTATACTGCTTTATTGTCAACTTTCTGCCATTGTTTAGATTTCTGTAAGTGAAGTTGGTGGTCAATTTTTAACAAGTTTTTGGGCCATGGTAATTATTGTGGCACATGGAATTTTTAAGCAGTGAAGCCCTTTGCCAGACTATCAATGATGCTTCCCAAAGTTTCTGACAAATTAGAAACATATAAACAAGGTTTGAAAAACCATACTGTGTTTTTATAACTTCCAAGAGGCGTCGCCATTAATAGTCGTCACTATAACGGGTGTCATCATCATCTAGGTCTTATCCCAATTATTTGAGTCCGGTTACATGAATCATGTTCCTCCATTCTTCTCTATCAAGAGCCACACCCCCAATAAGACCAAAAGTCATCGTATATTTTCTCTCTACTTTTATCGTCTTTTGAGCCTTCTCCTTGCCCTTTTAGACCCTTCCACTTGAACCAAATCGCACCTCCTAATCAATATTGTATTAGGTCTACTGGACATGCCAGCCCATCTAAGCCTACTTTTCCTCATTTTATTGCCTGTTGAAGCCACACCTAAGATCCCTCGTAGGCATTCATTCCAAATTCTATCATTTCTTGTCTTGCCACTCATCCTGTCTTACCAGTTATCCATCTCTGCATCTTCATCTCAGCTACGTTCATCCTATGGATGTGTTGTTTCTTGACCACCCAACATTTTGTCCTCTAAAGCATTGTTGGTCTTACATAAAACTCTGAATGTACATCTACATTTCGCCCACACAGCTCTAATTTTGTTTGCAACATCTTCCTCAATCTCTCCATTCTCCTAGATTATTGACCCTAGATATCGAAAACAATATCTTTTAAGTACTTCTTGACTGTAGATCTTAACTATTTCCTTGTTTCTACTCCTATTATTAGTACACTTGCATTCCATATACTCGGTCTTAGTCCGTTTGATTTTAAAACATTTAGATTCTCGCCTCTAGTCTCATCGATCAAAACTATGTCATTTGCGAATAACGTACACTACGGTATGGACGTAATGGCCAAAAAAAAAAAATTTCGGAGAGGTGTTGCCATTAATAACAGCCACTATAACCGGTGTAATAGCTATTTTCTACAAAGAGGGCTTTCTATGTGACCCCACCCACATATATGATATATGTGACCCCTGATCTCAACCATCAGATCTGAATAGATGGCTGAGATGGCTTGAGTCACAATGTTACAAGCTAGCACTTAACTGTCAGATCGTGATCATAGTGTTTTATTTTTTTATTTTTATTCTACAAATAATATGGAAGCAAAATTTGGGGCATGCATAGATCTAACAAGGGCACACATGATAAAACTATTAAAAAAATATTTCCTGTGAAATAAATTACCATAATACCCCTGAAAATTGCAGGGGCATTTTAGTCATTTATTTTTACATAAAATATTTTTTTTTGGTTATTTTTTTCAGGTTCACCCTAATTTTATGATGGGATGCCCAAAATTTCATCCAAAAAAGTTTTGTAGAAAAAAAATGAAAAATAAAAGTGTTTGACATGACATTGTGGTATGAAAAATGTAGCCATTCGATTCAGATTGAACGGCTAAGAAGTGGGGTCACATATAACTTATATGTTGTTGGGGTCACATAGAAACATTTCCCTTTTCTAAAACCGGTGTGGGCTTTGTAAGAGTATAACAGGCAATCACCATTACTATTATGAGTTGTAATTAACATTAAAATGGTTATAAAGTTATTTTGTTCTAGAAGGCACTTTTGCGTGCAGCCACCAAAATCATTGGAACTTGAAAGGTACTCATCCTTTGCAACTCAACATATTTTGCAAAGAATATTGCTAGAGCTCTAGGTCAACCTAGTGGATTTCATATACGACAAGTGACAAGAATGGTGTAGATGATCTTACTTGGATTGTTTTCATTGAAATGGGTTGGACTTTTTTTACCCTCAGCCGATCGCCATGATGTTCTTTTTGGTCTTTTGGAACAATCAATGCACTTATGATTGCTGGAAGTATTTGAAGGGGTGGAAGAAATTAAATTTAAAAGAAGTAAAACCTGCGCAAATAAGATATGGTCTTTATTGTTTTAAGACCCTCACCCCTACATTTTTTCCCTTGCGTATGTTCGTGTGTCTACTTGTATGTGTGTGTTTTTGTCGTGTGTTGTTCAGGGCAGTAGCTTTCGCAGTATGTGGCTTCAGATTCTAAGACTCTGTTATTGTTCCCTGTCATGGATATCAGTGTTAGACAACCCGGATACAAATATTGAGCAATACTTTGATGAATGCATCTCATTTATTGAGGATGCAAGAAAGGCTGGTGGAGGTGTACTTGTACATTGTTTTGCTGGTAGATCCAGAAGGTGGTTTTTATTCTGCATTTGTACCTTTTGGTAACATTATGTGACATTGCACTACTTTGAAAAATGCATGTTTGTGTGAGCCTGCTCTCATGGCATGTGCTTGTTTGCATGTATGTGTGTGTGTGGTTTTAATAATGATCGTCCATACCAGTGATCTTTTGCCAAGTCATTCTCTGTATGATGTTCTTCCTTGCAGTGTGACAATCATTGTCGCATATTTGATGAAAGTTCGGTCTATGAGTTTATCAGATGCATTGGATCTTGTTAGAAGTAAACGACCCCAAATTGCTCCAAATCATGGTTTCCTTTTGCAGCTGCAAAAGTTTGAGAGGTCACTTCAAGGTGTGTTTTCTCTTATAGCCGTCTCAATATTGGGAAATTTGCATGTATAGGTCACTTCTTGCTAATCCATGTGCTCTAGTATTTGGTACTGTAAATGCTGCATTATACACTGTTCAGTTATTGTGTATTGTACTTTTTTTTTTGGGTTAAGGATTGACGTGTTGTACGACGGTAGCTTGAACTTTTCATTTCACATTGTCTTAAGGTGGGCATTCTTGTGTTTTTTTGCTCTTGAGACATCAACATATGCTCTATATGTTGATTATTGGCTTCCAAAGATATCTATCTTATAATATAAACCAAAGAAGTGGAGAGCTATCTATTATGTTGTGTGGCCAAACTCTGTTGGTCAGCATGGTATCGGTCTGTTGAAGCAATCCAGAGTTTCAGATCATGGGTGTAAATTTTTGGAGAAATGTTTGGACCTATTTTCCTTTTCAATATTTACTTGTTCACAGAGATAGTTCTTCTGTGATAATATTAAATACCCCGAGTTTTATGTTCACAAATTTGTCGAGTCATTGGTGAGTACACTAGTCATCAAGGTTGACTTGAATTGTCAATTATAGAAAAACTGTTTCGGAACTCCAAGAGTCTAGGGTGGAGCGAACAATATTTCTACCAAGTTTGGCATCTTGATGAGAATATGGCCTTTGAGGATATTTGTTTGTAATGTAGAGTGATGGTGCTTGATTGGTAGCAGTGCTTGGTTCCAAATGAATATCACCCTGTAACATGTATTCCGTTTAATCACCATATCCTAGGAGTATACAGCTGTTCTTCTTGACTGCATGGTTTTCAATTAGAATTCCAGTACCTACCAAAGAAAACATATAAATACAAAGGGGACTTCATTGTGGGTGACCAAAAGGGAAAGTGATACATTAATCAGTTTTAGCAGGTTTATTAGTATTATTCAAATGCAAGTATTTGCGATTTTGCATATTGGAACTGATTTGAATTAAATAAGGCGGCGTTTACAAAAAGGATGATTTTGGTACTGAACTTTGGTGGCAATTCATTATTATTTGGAAACTCATAGACTTGATGCAGTAAATGCATATGTGATGAGAAAGTACATGAAAGGCCATAGTATACATTTACATATTCATGAACCTGTCCTTAAATACAAAGATCCTGACTAATGGTTTATCTCTCATGCCGAATGGTTTGTGTGCATACGGAAAGTGATAAACAGCAAGCTGATTAGAAAAAGCTTCAGATGGCTTTATTTGAATGATAAATAAAATCAATCAGGATAAGATTATCGAGTTTATGACGAGACAGAAAACCAATAAAAAGATTGACAAGATAGAAAGATCCTACCAGTCTACAATTATCGTTTTATAAATGTGAAGAACTCCGAACTTGATTTACTTTAGACATCTCCATTCATTGAGGAAGTAACAATCAAAGTTCTGTTTGCACTTTGTTTGATATCGTCCCTTTCTTTTTAAAATTTTAAAGTGCACTCTTTCTGCTCATCTAGCACATCCGCTTTCTTTGGTTATTGCTGATCTGTTCATTATTAGCAACAATCAGCAGTGTTTGCTTCCTTCTGATCATTGAGTTATTTCATTCCTATGCAGAGAAAAGGGATGCTAAGGATTAGTTTTACTTGTCTGCTTCATAACTGCAACTGCACGGTCTCCACAGCCAAGGGTTTGAAATACCATTTGCTTTAAGGAAATTAAATTTCTATTCTTTTTTGTAAAGTGGTATGTGGGAATTATGTGCTTTTATAGATTATTTTACACAGTTTTATGTAGTTTCAAATTTTCAATCTTTTTTTTTGTGCGCGTGTTACTTGTCTTAAAATGACCAGAGCAGCATCGCTATGTCTGCATACTGCATGTCTTCATGCATGGAGGGTTGCAAAAATGGAGGATCATTTTGCAGCACACTTTCCATCCCATTCCCAATACATACAATCAATTAAACTGAAGTTTGTTAAGGCGTCAGTTGTCTTCCACCGTTATGGTAAGCTTTAGTTCTATGCAATAAAGCATTTTCTGGATCTTGTTTTTGGAGGAATTTATCTAAACCTCCAAGTTTGCCAAATTTAAAACTTCCATGTAGACGACAGAAGATACTCCCATTCATTATGTGTCAAGCCAAGCAAAACAATGGGGATCTTGTTGACCTTTTTAAAGAACCATTTGAAAACTTTTTAAAACGCTAGGTTCTACAGATTTGGTCCAAAACCACATAATGCCCATCTATCAAAACGTTTCTATTACTTCAAATTGGGACTCGTCTCAAAAAAAAAAAAAATTGATAAGGTTGACTAGTCTTAATTGAATGGTCCAAAGAATGTCTTCTGCTTCCTCAAACATTCGAGTAAATGGCCTCGAATGTTTTTTTCTTTTAATTTGGAAATAACTCATCATCTTGAGATACTTATGTTAACCCTGTGAGAAAAAGGCCCACGTGCTCTAGATATAAACTATTTCAGGGGAAACATTCTGTACCTGGTAGGTCAATGGAACATGGCACTCGAACTTAACATCCACTGTCTATGTTCATCCAAGGATGGTGGATGATGAGCTGTTGTCCACTTTTATAACCGCCCACCCTTTTCTTATTCCCTACCACCTATATAAGTATGAATGAGGGATGTTAGGCAAGAGTATCTAAATAGTACACTCAGTTGTAAGTATAGTATCTGGTCACTTATTTCAAAGGAAAATATTGTACGAGCTTGGTGTTAGGTACTCAGATTCAGTACCCACGGGCCATAGTTATCCATGGATGGAAGGAGTTGAATTGTATTCCCCTTTCTAGATTGCCCATGTTTTTAAGTGGGAACAGTTAACTCCATTTTTTTTGGTTTTGATGATTAAAAAAGCAAGACCATTGAAGGGTCTTTACACCAAGTGATAAGCAGTCGAGGAGTCCCCTTCAATAAGGATACGCCGGTGATACTCTTGAAGGCGAGAGACTCCATGCCCCAATGCATATAACTTCGCATGTACTGCTGGACAAGGTGGTAAAGGCAGCGAGTAAGAGAAAATGATGGAGCCCCTATGGTCACTCTGAGTAAACCACCACATCCTGCCAAAAGTTCAGACTCTTTGGAGCTACCATCAAAATTCAGTTTGTACCATCCTTGAGCAGGTGCAAGCCACCTATCATCTTTCTTCATGCGATGACTTTTAAGCAAGGGTAGGCCATCCATGTTACATAAGATATCTTCCTTTGAACGATCTCCTAAGTCTTTTCATAACCATTGAGGCCATAATAGTCCTTTAGCTGCTCCAAAGGTGTGGTAAAGCCTTCAAAAACTCTTTTGAGTTACTCAACTCCATTGCCCTAGGATATGTAGGGAGGATAGATCTCACACTTGAATAACGGTGTGTGGACGCCTATCAGCAGGCCCGGCAGAATAGCGGATAGATTGGCTACGCCCAGGCCTATATCAGCGTGGGTTGCCCAAAGAGCTAGGCCCAGACAGTTCTTCGCTTGGCCTGCCCCAGCCTGGCCCATCCCATTGCCACCCCTGAAGTTGCATATGGTTTGTCCTTATAAACTGCTTATAACAATAGGACTATTTGCTCACTCAACAATGCAATGGTTTTTCAGTTGACAAATCAATTGCGTGTTGGGAGGCTTTAGAGCAAAAGAAATATTTTAGCAGGGCTCTGGTTGTCTACAAGTCTCAAAAGTTGGAGCATCAGTCCCAAAAACATAAACGGTATAAAATTTATACTATTTTGATAATGAATTGCATCTTCCTCAGATCAAATCGAAGAGGCAAATATAGAAATAACCCACAACAAAATTTCCCGTTAGTCAAGACTAGAATGTCAAATGCATGTGTTGCGTCTTTTTTTGTGTGCCTACATTTTTTTAGCACGATTGTCCATATTATATATAGATTGGTTCAAACTTCAAGGGTTCAAATCTTTTAGCATTAGGCTTTGAACGTTGGTCTTGCAAGAATAAAACTACCCACTTTTTGAAATTGATTTGGTGAGAATGGGATGGGCCTTTGCGGTAGTACTCTTGAGTCCTATGATTAAGCCTCGGACTGCGTTTTCCTCTAAGGTAGACGGCCCAAATCTCCATTGACTTACCCTTTAATTATCCAAAAATTAAAAGAAATATATTTCAATTCATTCTTCTATACTTCTGAGGCCATATGGTGCCCGCACTAAATGTACATACCTCTTTAAAGGGAGGATAAGCCTAATTCATACCTTCTAACAAAGCAAATACTGAAAGGAAATACTTCAACCACTCCCTTTAAGAAAATTGAAAGGTTAAGCGAATAAAAAATTAGACTTTATTTATTGAAATTGTGTCTTCAAGTAGCAACTTTTTTTTTTTTTTGGGATGAAAGTTCCAAAATCTTATTTAAATATCACAAATATACAACAAAATTAAGAACTAGGTATATCAAAGACCAACAAATCAGCAAGAGAACAATCCTGTTTTGCAAGGGAAGCCTCCATACCATTGGCCTCTCGCAGGACATGAACAAAGGAAATAGAAAGAGACCGAGAGAGGTCAATGGATTCCAACAAAAAAGATCTTAGTTCCCAATGGACTTTCTTTTCATTGTTACACTAATTAATAACATTCAAAGAGTCCCCTTCCATAACACAATTCACTCCAAAGTTCTTAGCCTTGAACAGTCAAAGACCCTGAAGAAGTGCATAAAACTCCACATAGTTCGCTGACTACACCCTTAAAGGACTTGCGTAAGTAAGCATAACTTGACCCTCCCAATCCCTCACAACAGCTCCATAACGCGCATTACCTGGGTTTCCATGGTCCCATAAGCAGGTGGGGACCATCTACCAACAACTCTATTTTTTCAGCCTTCTAACTGAAAAAGAGTAGTGAGGTTAAACCTAACATCACTCTCTACAATATCTTTCCCAACCTTTTGAATCGATAGGTTCATCCAAATGGAATGGAGGATCTTCTCCAACACTCTTTCCCATGGCAACGACTTCCCCTAAAAAATTCATGTAACAACATTTGTTTGCAAACAATACATTCATATAAGCAAAACTGAGCTTTACACTGGTGTAACTCATGCGCAAGGTTTACCCTTATCGCTCCCAATGTTTGTGGCCACATATGTTACAAGGACATGGATACAAACAAATACTAGTGTAAAAAATGCTAACCTTAAAATTAGCCCTTTAGACGCACTGCACATGTACAACATGGAATGTGAGAATTTAAGAAATATGAAAGACTTCCGTAGCAAAATTTTAGCAAAATAAAAGAAAGAAAAAATCAGGTTGAAATGTCTAAGTTTCTAATGCGTTAACTTGTGTGTTGTATTTTTAGCATATCAATCTGTGCCCAACAACTTAGACATAACCGTCCAAGCATTACCCATGTTTTCCCTAGTTTCAAGAGATTTAGGATTCAAGACATGTCAAATTACTATGAATCTGTTTTCACCTTGGATCCATGAATTTGGACTTCAAAAACAGCACACATCTAATGATATTTGAAGAAATAAAATGTACAGACCAAAGATAAAAGAATACAAAATATGTCATTGTTAGATTCATCCAATTCATGATCGTGGTGATCCAGATAATGGACCTACAAAATTTTGGATTCATACTTTGAGTGGGTGAACTTACTTCAAAAAATGTGTCCCATAAGGCACCTAAATCCTACCTATTTCTCTACTACAGACTTGACTTGAAAGGAAATATAAAGGGAAAATTAATTGAACTTTGAGTGGGTGCGTGAAGGTCTCTTTAAAGCAAGCTATATATATCCAACCTACTTGCCCTTCATTCATTCCTTCACGTGTAAGCTCCTCTTATTTAGTTTATCCCCACGCTTTGAGGAGGGAGGGGACTGCTTTGGGCTCTTTAGGGAGTATCAACACTATTTTCCAAAATATAAAAATGTATCCCATATGTGAATATGAAACCAAGAAGTTATTGTTTTTTCAGATTTATTTTACAGTCTAAGAAAAATTAGGGCCTGGACCACAAAACGTAGCGCAATCTTTATCATTTGGAAGGCCCAGTCCCACACTTTGACCTTAATGGTGGGAACAATTTTTGCACTCCGGTGCTCCATTGTCTCTGCCTTAATTGAGATAGTGGTTGATCCTAGTGAAGGTAGTGTAGGCAACGAGCAAAGCCAATAGTATCCAAGTCTTGCCAAAGCGCTCTTCCGTTTTTTATTTGCAAAAGTAAACTCTTGAACGAGGGCTTTGACAAGATTTAGCAAGCATGGCCTAGCCCTCTTTGGCCCCGTTTGGGCCGGGTTTATCGGGGACCAAGGCTCGGTTGGGGCGAAGTCCTGCCCGTTGCTAACCATTCTTCAAATATGACAGCATTCTATTCTATAGTGTCGTATGTTTCCATTCGAGCCTTCCTGTCTTTCTCCTTCATGTACCTGCGGATGTGCTTTTCATTTTCTGGAAAATTTGAGAATGTTAGTTGTCTTTTAAGGGAAAATATCATTAAAATGGTTAATGAACTTCTAAAAATCAACAAGGTAGTTAAAACAATTATTAGAAATGAATAGTTTTAAGAATTCTGTGTCAATAATTTTGTTAAAAAATGCCTAAGTTATCTTATGTAATTTGACTCACTTAAGTCACTTGGGTCAAATGACTAAAATACCACACTTTCGTTTCAAACCCAGAATAATTCTTTTGTTGAGAAATCTTTTCTTGGAGTTTGGAGCCTAAACAAGTTGGGGTGTTTTAATAATTTGGCACCACTTAAATTTGCTAAGCTAAATGGCAACAATACTCTTACTTGCTCTAGGTTTCAAACTTAGAAGAAGATAGTTCTCAATGAAAAACATTTGTTCATGATTTGAATCTCAGATAAACATGAGTACTTAGGTTATTTAGCTACAATGACTTAAGTAGATCAAATTACTCAATTTCTCTCCCTTGTTAAAGGTTCCAAACTTGGAACTCTTTGAGTAGTTTAAAATAATTGAGGTGAAAAAATAACCACTTTATTAACAACTTGATTTTTTCATTTTTGAGGTGGTTTAACAATTTACTCATATTTTCCCTTTCTAAGCCAGAATTAGTGCCAATTTATTCAAAGCAGTCTACAAATCATGGTTAGGCACGGCAATTAGGACATGACCCTGGAGGTGAAACGAGCATATGATATATCTATGGAAGAAGAAACAATAGTGAATGAGAATCGTTTTAATCATTAATAATATTATGACTTCACTTAAGAAAAAATTCACAAGCCAGCATTTTTGCTTGTAGAAATAAAGTTATAGTAATGGGTGTGATTTGTATAAGGTGTCAACCACAAACAATTTAATTAAGGCAAACCTCCAAAAGCTCATCGGTGTTGGAAATTTTAATGATACCTAAAAACATCTAATTATGAAATTTAAATTTAAAAAATGATACAGATTGAGCAGATCTACAAACACATGAAATTTTGAGAATGAACGATCAAGTTATTGTATTACAAGATGTACCATGTTTGGTATTTTAAAACCTTTATTTTTCTCCCACATTTGTAAATCTCGAGGTCGAGAAGTTCAATTAGATGATTTTCACCATCAAAAATACATTTTTTGATTGATTTTTGAGGTTCGCTTTTATCTACAATTTAAGGTTGCAACTTTATATAAACTTTTTCCTTTAGTAATACCTAGTGTTGGAAACCACTACTCGGGCCGAGTACTATAGCATAAAAGTTTTTTTTTACAAAAGTACAAAAAAATCCAAAAAAAATAGGGAATATATTTTTTACAGTAAGTTTAAGCAAAACACATCAAAATGGGGTTAAAAAGTGATAAAAAAAAATAAACTTTTAAAAATAAACTTGTGACCCGGGGTATTTTTAAAATAATAAAAAAAGATGAAAAATATAAAAATAAGAATTTATGGCCAAACGCTTACCAATCATTGTTAAAATGATTAAAAAAAAAAAAACACAAAAAACGTATCACAAATAAATTCTTTTCTCAAAGAAATTTTATGATTTTTTAATATCCCCGGGTGGGACACCCAACTTGGGGTAACTCATGTTCGGGTGCCGAACCTGAGTACTTCGTATTCAAGTATGTCACAAAGTTTAAAAAATTTTCTTTTAAAGTTTGATCTTGGTCAATAAAATAAATACAGCCATATAATTTCACATCCAATGATCAAAATTAATTGCAACTACCATGTGCTAAAGATAAATAGTCTCATTTTATACTTTTTCTATATAAATCCTATATCTCTTAAATACGAAAGTGATTTACAAGTGTCAAATGTGGGTTGTACAAACATTGAGTTTGTGCAAGGAAAGATATGCAAAATAGGAGTGAAGGAGATCACAAAAATGGAAAGATGTCACTTAAAATCCCATGCTGAGATAATGAGAAGCGTGAGATGTAACAAACAATATTCACGAGACTGCACCAAATGCAATTAAAGGACGACTCAACCCAAACTCACACCAAGCAAATAAATGAACTTTTAATTTTCCTTCTTTTTTTTTTTAATAAATGAATTTTTATGCAATACCTATATATAGTGGGTGAGGAATGCATGAGAGGACCAAGCTTCGCTGGAAAAGGACTGGCCGGAAAAATTAGAGCCGGAAAAATCTGACCCTAAATTGTTATTTTTTGCCGGATTTTAGTGTGGTTTGTTTGTAAGTTATATATAAAAAGTTGGTGAGAGCATTATTAGAGGGAGAAATGTCTCATATAACAGTGGAGAGGAACAGGAGGAAGCAGATGAACGAGCATCTCAAGGTGTTACGTTCATTGACACCTTGTTTCTACGTGAAAAGAGTACTCTCTCTCCCTCTCCTCCCCCCCCCCCACCCCAAAAAACCAAGAGCGATCTATGTACGGACCCAAAAATTTTACATAAAATATGAAATGTTTTGTTTATAGACGGAAATTACAAGAAAACTCGGTCAACCTGAATTTTTTTATTTTTTTCAAAATTGCCCCTCAATTTGAGGATGGCATCTTCGGACTCCATTTTATTTTATTCGTTTTTTTCGTTAGTAGGGCTGTACTGCGAGCTCTAGGGGCAATGCCCAGGCAGTTTGAGGTTTGAATTTTCGGACTGCTCTCTGGTTCATGAGCCGTCAGAGTTTCCCATCTTCGGATTGCTATTTCTTTCTTATTTTTTGAGAAAAAAAGTGGTTCGAGGTTGGCATCCGTGGATGGCGCTATGTCTTTTTTTTTACATAAAACAACGGTCTGAGGATGGGAACCTCATACCACTCTCTGGACTGAGCACAACTCAGTTCCAAGGCGGTCCGAGGTCCCCAACCTCGGACCTCTCTTTATTTCTTATTTTTTGAGATAAATAACGTTTTAAGGATGGGGACCTCAGACCGCTTAGCATTGATCTGCGGATTCTAACCTCGGATTGCTTAGGCGCTACTCCTAAAGCTTGGGGCACTACCCTAATAAAAAAAAAAGAAGAAGTTAAAATGCGGTATGAGGATGCCATCTTCGTACTGAGGGGCAAAAGAAATAAAAAAACACAGGTTGACCCTTGTAATTTCTGCCTATAAACGAAGCATTTTGTATTCTAGTTAAAATTTTCGGGTCCATACATAAATCAATTTTATTTTAGAGCAATGATCCAATGCAACTGTTGCATTGTAGTATAATGCAACGAGATTTCTAGAAAACCATGTTTGTGGTATTTGTATGACCCCAAAGTTTGCACACACACTCTCTTTATCTAAATAATCAATTCCTCCAAAAAAAAAAAAAGTTAAATTTGAACCCCATATATGGTCAAAATGAGTCCCCTCCAAAAACGAATCTAGACCATTCATTTTGTGAATTTCAAGATCTTAGCCTTTATAAAATCAAATCATTTTTCTTTTTTAACATTGTTCATCTAATGATAATAAAGCCATCCAAAAAAATTGGAAATGAAAAAATCCTTTGAAGGCTTAGATCTAAGCATCTCAACAAAATGAACGGCCTATGTTAATTGGGCTAAAAAAAATACTTTATAGGTTGTGTTTTCAATTTTTTCTTTCTTTGTGATAGTTCATTAGAATGAAAAGAGAGTATATTTCAAATTTTGGATCAAACAAATGGCTATAAGATGGCTTTTTAAGGTTGTTTCATCATATTACTATACAATGTTTGCATGAAATCATTGCTCCTTATTTTATATAATTGAATAAATTTATGACTTTTCAAAGCCAAAGAGCTTTCAATATTAATCAAACTACCTAAAAAAATCACTCCTAATTTTGTGATTCTTTATGCAGGGAGACCAAGCGTCCATCATATCAGGAGTGATAGAATTCATTAAGGAACTGCACGAGGTTTTACAATCTCTAGAAGCAAAAAAGAGGAGGAAGAGCTTGAGTCCGAGCCCAGGCCCAAGCCCGACTCCGAGCCCACGTTTGGCTGCCTCTAACAATGAAATTGGATTTGATAATGTGAGTGGGCTTGTGGGGTCATGTAACTCTTCAGTGGCTGACGTTGAGGCCAAGATATCAGGGTCCAATGTTGTGTTGAGAACGGTTTCAAGAAGGATCCCCGGGCAGGTTGTGAAGATAATAAGGGTCCTAGAGACCCTTTCATTCGAAATACTTCATCTCAATATAAGTAGCATGGATGACACGGTGCTCTACATCTTTACAATCAAGGTCTCTCTCTCTCTCTCTCTGCATGAATTTATTTTGAGTGATTCATGTACTGACCTGAAAACTTTACTTAAAATATAAAATCCTTTTATTTACAGGCTGAAATTATAAGGAAGGTTAGTCAACCCGTTTTGTTTTTTTTTTTTAGTTTTTTTGTTAGTAGGGCAGTGCCCAGGTGGTCCGAGGTTTCTATCTTAGGACTGCTCTTTCTTTCTTATTTTTTGGAAAAAAAAAACAACAGTATGAGATTGCTATCCTAGGAAATCGTTAAATGTCTTATTTTTTAAGAAAAAACACCAGTTGGAGGATGGGAACCTCCGATTGCTCATTGGATTGTGCACAACTCAGTTCCAGGGCGGTCTGAGGTCCCCATCCTCAGACCACCCAGTATCGGTCTGAAAATTCTAACCTCGAAAAGCACTGTCCCTAAAGCTTGAGCCACTACCCTACAAACAAAAAATCTAAAAAAAAAAACAAAGGTTAACATGCGCTCTAAAGATGGCATTTTCGGACCGATGGGCAATTTTGACCGTCATTCCTTATAATTTCTGCCTATAAAAAAACCATTTCATATTTTAAGTAAATTTTTTTAGTCACGTACGTAAATCACTCGTTTATTTGCGTGTACCATGCTCTCTCTCTCTCTCTCTCAATGCACACAATCATGATTGAGTATACATTCTCTCTCTCTCTCTTGCATGCATGCATGATTTATTTGTGTGTGGAGCATGGGTAAGCATTCTTTCTCTCTCCATGCATACAAGCACGCTTGAGTTTACATGCTCTCTCTCCATGCACACAAGCACGCGTGAGTATACATGCTCTTTCTTGCTCTCTCTCTAGATGCATGAATGATATGTGTGTATAACAGGGTCATGAACTCTCTCTTTCTCTCCCTCTGTAGAATTTGCAATACAAGAAATAGAGATGAAGGAGAGAAAAGAATAATCATCAAGATATATATATGGTTCGGCAATGGTGTCTACATCCATAGAGGGTAAACCAGTATCTCATTCATGGAGATTACTCTAGTTTATCAGAGATTTATAGAGTTAAAACTTTTGCCTTTTGGGAAAGGCAACATCCCATTACAATTGCAATCTCACAAAATAAAAGAAAACAGGAAACTCAATATTTGGCTATGATAACTATCAACAATTCCCCTCAAGTTGGCGCATAGATATCAACGAAGCCCAACTTGGAGAGTAGTTGATAGAACTTTGTCTTTATAATAACTTTGTTAAACATGTCTGCAAGTTGGTTTCACTTAAGGAGTACGAATAATTTTTTACTGAACCTTTTGTCTCACAAAGTGACAATCAACTTCTATGTGCTTGGTTCTTTCATGAAAAACTGGATTGGAGGCTATATACATAGCTGTTTGATTATCACAGAACATCTCCATTTAATTGACCGTAGGGAATCCCGTATCTCGAAGTAGGTATTTTAACCACATCAATTTACTTGTAGTTGAAGTTATAGCTCTATATTTGGCCTCTGTACTAGATTGAGGAGCTACATTTTTGTTTTTTGCTTTTTTATGTAACTAAGTTTCCTCCGACCAATGTACAATAGCCAGTAGTGGATGTCTTGTCAATTGGACGACCTGCCTAATCAGCATCAGAATAACCAATAATATTAGTGTGACCATTCGGTTTCATCGAAACGCCTTTGTCTGGTGACGATTTAAGATACTTAAGCATCCTATCAACAGCATCTATATGACATGATCTAGGAGCATGTATAAATTGGCTTACAAGACTAACTGCATACATTATATCTGGTCGTGTCACAGTCAAATAAATCAATCTGCCCACAAGTCTTTGAAAGCAACCCACATCTTTAACATGTTTTTCATTTGTTGAATTAAGCTTGCAATTAATATCAACAGAAGTGTAACAGGGTTTGACTCCCAGTTTCCCAATTTCTTTCAACAAATCTAATAAATATTTTCTTTAAGAAATAAAGAGCCCATTTTTTTAATGTGCTACTTCAATTCCAAGAAAATACTTTAGTTAACCAAGATCCTTGATGTCAAATTTCTTGTGAAGATACTTTTTAAACTTCATGATGCTTTTTTTATCATTACCTGTATTGATAACATCGTTAACATAAATTAATACAACTGTTGTACCTGAACTTCCCCTTATTGTGAACATCGATGAATCAATTGAACTTCTAAAAAACTCAACACTCATCAAGGTTGAGCTGAGTTTGGCATACCATGTGCAAGGTAATTGTTTAAGTTCATATGAAGCCTTCTTTAATTTGTATACAAGACCTTTCTCCGTTTTCATAGATGGCCTGGAGAAAAATTCATAAACTTCTTCTTCAAGATCACCATGTAAGAAGGCATTTTTAACATCCATCAATACAAAGACCACCCACAATTAACTGCAATAGACAAAGAACACGAATACTATTCATCTTGACAATTGGTGCAAGATTAATTCTATTATTTGATCACATTACGTTGTGAACTGTCTTGATCCATTTTAGAACCCTTGACAAACACAGTAATATATTCCAAATCCGACTAGCCTCACAACAAAAGTAATAATTACTCTTGTCTAAGATGTGATTAATGCTAGTCATCCAAACTCCCCCTACAAACTATTAATAAGACTTAAGATTGGACCAAGAAAAAGAAAAAATACAAATGCCTTCGGAACAATGGTGTTCTTTATGATGTGAATGAGGATTCCAATAATTTTAGGACAATGAAATACACTTTCCAGTCTTGCGGTTTGTTGGTTCAAGAAATTTTCAGCTTTTATCTCATGCTTTTTTAAAACTAATTAAATCGATTTTGTGTTGTTAATACTAATTATATCCATATTCCTTTTAAGAGTTGGTGTATTTGTATCCATACATGTCCTACTCCCTTCAAGAATTGGTGTTCTTGAAGGAGTAATTGACATTCTCTTTCTCTCTCTACAGATTGGATTGGAATGTCAACTTAGCGTGGAGGAGCTGGTTCAAGAGGTTCAGCAAACGTTTTCTGGTGACAGCCAAAATGACATCATACTTGCCTAAATGATTAAGAATTAAAAGCAAGTAGATCATCGAGTTTGTATGCGCGCCTTCAAATAGTATCAAAAGATCTTTCAATACTGGAAATCTTTGTGATGACTTGAAATTTTATTTTTAAATCTATTTATAAAATTTAAAGCTTTTAAAATAGTATGGATCGAACAGATCTATAAACACTTGAAAAAATTAGACGGTCCAAAAATGCATTACAAGATACACTATTTCCAAGACTTGAAGTCCATTTTTTTCTTATATAGGTACATGTTGAAGTTGAAATGATAAATTTGAGGATTTTTGTGCATTGAAACAAGCCTCTCCTAATGAATTTTTGAGGTGCTCTTTAATTTGATTGTTTAGGGCCTTGCCCTTAATATAAAATTTTCATACATAATTCATGTAAATATCATGTAATGCCAAACTACAACATAGGATTCTTTTTTTTTCCTTTTTTTTTTTTGGTGAACCATCTAGACTCTAGAGAAAAGAAAATCATAGATTTATTGAGATGTCACTTTGGAGCATGCAAAAGAGCAGTAAAAATCTGTTTTTTGTGAACAAGATGTAAATTGGTCGATGACAATATAAAACTTAGAGAAAATGACGATGAAGAAGATTAAACGAGAACGCAAAGTAAAACAGACCGAAAAGAAAAAACAGAGAGCAGGGGTGCTTTAAAAATTGGAATCAGACCAATAATCATGAGGCCGAAGATTCAGATTCTTGTTTGAAATCGAGCAATTTCCTACACACATCGAGCTGTAGATTACAACGAGAGAGAAAAAGGGTGTGGTTTATACTGTGTACAAGTCTTCAAGTTCAAAAATCAAAGTAAGATGCACATCAAAACCCTACTGGAGTTGTAGTTTTGGTGTTAGAAACCCCTATAATGGCTTTCGAAATCTATTTACATGCCTTACTATTTAAAGCTCGGACAATTTAGATAATGTATTACAGGAGACATTGCATTTAGGATGTGAAATTTTTTTTTCTTCTTTATATCCATATATCTTATCTTATGGTGGAGATGATCAATTAGAGGGTCCAAAGTAACAACTTTTTTGGGTGAGTTTTTGAGATGTGCCTTACTTTTATAGTATAAGCTGACCTCGTATAGATCCTAAAAAAAAAAAATTAAGCTAAAAAATAGTGGAAATCGGGGAACTGCAAGTTTTCTCAAACCAAAATCGCCCACCTAATTATCTTTTTCTAATTTTATAGTTGTTCTATCTACATATCTTCAAATATTCTCTCAAAGGCTGGGTTCTTTTATTTTCTGGAACTGAAAGCTCAAATTCTCAATTCCACAATTCTAAACATCATATAAATGAAAAAAACTCTCCCGATAACCTCCACATGCCCTTGCCGTTGTACTTCTTCGTAATGGAAAAATTTTATATAAGGTAGCAACTTATGCTATAGAAGTAGGGTCCACCTCAAAAGTCAAGTAAAAATAGCATTCCGAAGTTGATAAACTTTCAACTTGTTGGACACTACCCATACCTATCAATTGTTGGAGATAAAATACTTCAAGCCCTATTCGTATGGGTATATTAAGGAACATATATAATAAAAACTCATTGTCATATTTAGCTATTAAACGTAAAATCCAACGAATTGAAAAATAAAGGCAGGAGATTACAAACTTGTTGCTAATGAGTATATGATGTAAAAACAGGGCAAAACAAAAGAAAAAAAATCATAATGGGAGTGGTGATGCATCCAATCAAAATCGAGACCTGACGGATACCAGTATGGGTCTAACTTTTGGACCCGACGGGTAATATTCGAATCAAAAACTTGAACCCAAAAACCATTCGGATTTGAGTCTGGGTCAGCTATACGCAACCCGTTGCCACCTCTAAACAAGTTGAATCGCCGTACCACATACCCGACCCGTTGCCACCTCTAAACAAGTTGAATCGCCGAACCCACAGAACGGACTCGCCAGTGGAATTGTACAGGCCACGACACCACAAAAGGCCAGAAGGCCGGGAAACCAGGGGCCGACAACCCGTCACGAGCGGCTAACCGCCACGGCCGCACGCCGCTATCCCAATGACGTCATCACGTGTAAAAAAGACTGGACTCGTGGGCCCAGATTGGGCCTTTATTCGGCGGGGATAGGAAGCGTAATAATTAAAGGTCGATGGGGTAAAGTTGACTCCGTACTTAAAAAGATTCCCTCCATTCTGACACCGCCGTTAATGCGCGTGTCGCTGTTGTTTCCAAGGGCCCAGCTCGGTTCATTATGTGTTTTTTTTTTTTGGGAGTTTCATTGATTCATCTTTTCTTTATATTTATGAAAAATTGTCCATCTATCAATATGAGTTCAAACTTTAAACTATGATTATTGTTTTCTTTGTTAAATTATGTTGATGGATCGTGTTTATGTTAAATTTATTTGAATTAACTTTACTGTGAAAAGGTAAAAATATACAATGGATCTTTATCATTGGTAAATGATGGTCACAACTAATGTTGATGGATGTAAAATGAGATGCTGCATTTATTCTACTCAACAAATTTAAATTTAAAAATTAATTTTTTCGAACTATGTAATACACCCAAGCTATCAAATTTCACATATATTGTTGTAAATAATTGTAATCTCTTTATATCAAAGATAAATAAACAATCTTTTTAACAAGAGCCAATTAAGATCCAGAACACCGATTTGGATCAAAGGGGCTGATTTGGTCAGAATGGAGAATCAATCAAATTTTGATATATTTATCTAGAAGTATGTTAGAGCACCAGGCATGTCCAAATCATCAAATTCTCATCTATTTGTTTATTTATTAATTTAAAACTTTTTAACTATTTTTAAACTAAAATATCATTTAAAAAGTTTCCATACCGAATTAGACATCAAGTTGGTCTAGTGTGACTGATGTTACCAACCAATGCGGGTTTTATAGCACTGCTTTGAGGTATTAGACCTTGGGATTAGGAGGGATGTGGTTGGCCCAGGTTGATGTTAAATCATCATTGCTATTAGTAATTTAATTATCTTGGGCAGCACAAGGGTCCAAGTTAAGCCCACTTAGAAGGTCCAAAGCAAGCTCGGTTTGCGCCCGGACAA